CTGTCTGTCACAGATGTCACTGCCATCTCCTGGGTGTAAGACAGGAGGCCATCGCTTGTCTGGGCTCCGTGCCCCCAGCGTGGGCAGACCTGGCACACTGGTGTTCAGTGAGCATCGGCGGCTGCGGGTTTACTGAGCTGTTCCAGCATAGGCTTTATACTCAGTCCCTGTGACCTTGGGAACACTACTTCCAGCCTCAGTTTCCCCACCTGGACAATGAGGGCATAAGGCCTTTCTGATCTGCATAGTTGGTAGAACCACAGGTACCTCTGGACAAGACGCTCCGGCGCTCACCTCCAGCGCTTCCCTTTGGGGCTGGGAGGGCAGTGCTGCTCTTCAGGCTTCTGTAAAGATGATCCCACCCTCCTCCTCCTCAGTAGAAGCTAGGACTCGGTTTCTGGAAAATGGGAGCAGTCATGTAATCATGTCTGGGGCTATCACAAGAATCTTAAAAAAAAAATTTCATGGTGCCAGGCATCTATACCTCCCTCACTCCACAGCAGCCTCCCTTGGGTGGGGGGTGACTCCCCATTCCACAGATGAGAACACTGAGGCTCAGAGAACAGGTGCTGCCCTTTCAGAGCCAAAGAAGAGGTTTGGAGGAGCAAAAGGCACCTGCATTCAGTGGCACCGGGGCAATTCATACCCAGGGTCACCCATCGATTCTCACCTGGCAGTTTTGGTGGTGGGCATGATCGTGGGTGAGGAGGGTAAGCTGGACACCAGGGTCAGTTCCGGGCTCTGGAGTCAGTGCTCCTAGAAGATGTGCCAGCCCAGGGACAAGACAGGAGTGGGGCTGGCATCTGGCCCTCCCTCAGCAGGCTAGGAACTGGGGGGAGGGGACAGCAAGCCACCAAGGGAACAAAACCCTAACAGGAATCTGGAACGTGGTGTCCTGCGTGTTCAAGGGCTGTGACGCAGTGTGTGGCCCTGGGGGAGCCCAGCTCTAGGCTGTGGGGAGAGGTCAGGGCTACCCACCTGCAAGCTGTGGCCTCTCAGCCCAGCTGTGCTGACCAAGGTCTCAGCTGCATGGGTCGGGGAAGCCCAGGAGGGAAAGCAGACCCACCAATTTCTCAGGATGGAGACTACAGCCAGGATAGACCAATCAGGGTCCCTCTCCACCCCCTGGGGAGCCCTTCCTCTCCCAGAGCAGTCAGCCGGCAGGACTGGAAGGGAGATGGAGGGAGGGTGAAGCCCACCACCTCAGAAGCCAAGCTCTCTCCTCACCCCACCTCCTTCCTCCAGTTGGGCTCCTGCTTTCTTCATCTGTCAAGGGGAGTGTCAGTAACAGGGCTCCGCTCCCCCGAAGGCTGCTGAGTCGGAGAAAAGTGGGGTCTTAGCAATGGCGAGCCCCCACATGAGAAGGGGGGTGATTAAACTCACAGGGGTGAGCCGAGGAGCCAGAAGCCTCTTCCCTGGGTCTCTCTCCATGCACACACACCCCCCAGCTATGGACAGGATCGTACTGGTCTGCCACAGGCTCTTTCCCGTCACAGCAGAGGGTGGCCATCCCCGTGCATCGGTACAATTAAATCTAGGTCATCCTTTGTGACTACTGCTGTGGCCCAGAGACAGAGTGTGCCCTCATGGAAGACCCCAAACCGCGTGGCGGCGAGCATCCTCAAACATGTCTGCTTGGATATGCCTGTGTGGGTCTCTCTAGAGGATACTACGCTGGAGGCTGAGAGGCCACGTGGATGCTGCTGTAATTGTCCAGAGCAGACATAAGAGGCTGCATCAGACTGGGAGAAGGAAGGAGGGGAAGAATTTCCTTTGTCGAAATCTCATGGGCTTCCCCTAGCTGGTCCCCCGGGCCTCCCATCCCCCTGGTCTATCCTGGTTGTAGTCTCCATCCTGAGAATGAAAGCTTTAGAGCACCAGAGGAGGGGTGGGGACCTAGGGGGCAGTGGGGAGGAAGAGGAAGAGATCTGGGATATTGACTAAAGCAGCCAGGAGAACAGAAATAGGCTGGAATGGGAACAGCTGCCTCTAAGTTACATACACTTGCCCGGGTCGGGCAAGGCCTTGAAGCCTGAGCTTCCCAGCTTCCCCAGGGGACTCCACACAAGACTGTGAGGCTCTGGAAGGTGAAGGGGCCTGCCCAAGCCCACACAGGATGTGAGTGGCCAAGGTGACCTTCTGATTGGGACCTGACCACGAAACCCTGTGTGTATGGGCCATCTCTGGGCAGAGTCTCCCTATCAATGGCACCATCTGAGGGCACCAGATGGACAGATCTGGAGGAGTCAAGACCTAGAACTCAACCAGGGCAGGTGCCAGAGAGATGGACCTGGCACCGGCATCATTAAAGGCTAGAGAGTGACAGGTGACAAGTGGTGTCTGACAAGCCCCACTGTCTGGGGACCCCCATGCAGCAGGTGGGAGGCAGTGGCGGGGCAGCCAGGCCTCATCCAAAGGCAGCCTGAGGCCCAGTGGGAGGTGGAAGCACAGCTCTGCCTCTCCAGGGCCTGAGCCCTGACTCCCAGCCCCTGTGCAAGGCCCTCCATGGCCTCAGGAAGTCCATAGGCCTCCAGGGCTCTGCAAACTCCCAACTCCGACCACCTCCTCCTCTACCCAGAGCTTTCTGATTGTGGATTGTGATTGTGATTCTGATTGTGAAGTCGTCTCTATTTTGTCCTGTTCAGATTTGAGAAACTCCCTTTGTGAAACTTTTTATAAATAGGAAGAAGTTTCTGCTGATAAAACAAATGTATTAAATACAGTCTACTAATTTTCCTACATATATATATATGTATGCATACAAGGTATGCACACATACTTACAAGGTGAGTTCACAAACTCATCCTAGAAAAAGTGCTCCATCCCTCATTGCTGAATATCACTACCGTCACCTTTGAAGTACCCCCTTGGGAAGCTATGCACCGATGCCAGTACCTAGTCCACCCGTCAAAGCAATTTTGGAACTCTTTTTCTGGGATAACCATGAGAGCCGTCATCAGATTACCCTTGATGTCCCGAATGTTATCAAAATATCTTCCTTTCAATATTTCCTTTATATTCAGGTAAAGAAAAAAGCCATTAGGGGATAGATCAGGTGAGTAGGGAGGGTGTTCCAATTCAGTTATTTGTTTGCTGACTAAAAACTCCCTCACAGATGGTGCTGTGTGAGCTGGTGCATTGTTGTGATGCAAGAACTCCTTCAGGACCATTTTGCACACACCTTTCTCATGCCCAGATTTTCACTTGAGATTTTCCTAACTGTTTCTCTGTTGATGTTTATTTGTTCTACTTTGCTTCTCACAGTCAGTCAATGGTTTTGATGCACAATTCAATGAGTGCTTGCAATGTTTTTGCCAATGTTTACTGGCCGTCCTGAGATCTCTTCATCAATGGCTCTCTCTCTCCCCTCGGAAAAACGTTTAATCCATTTATACACTGCCATTTTCTTCATGGCATAACCCTCATAAACTTGGACTAACAGGGTCCCGGATTTCATTTCCACTCTTGCAAAATGTAACAAGAAATTTAATGTTTGTTCATTGCTCTAATTCAAGCTCTGACATTCTCGCGACGGCACACGAAAATATGCAACAATAACGAACACCTCTGGCAAGACACCACCACACACTGATGCAAATGCAGCTGCGAGATACTGATATATCAAGGTTATAAAGCTTTACTGAGTTGTTTGTACAGTGCTGCGCATGGTGGCAAGTTTGTGAACTTAATTGTCAGACCACATACACATATACATGCAGGCAGACTTGAGTTTTTCTCCCAAACTGGGACAACACTGATTCTTCTCTTTGTGCCCTGCCTTTGTCCTTCCCAGAACACTGTGAAGTGTCCAAGCACAGGTGTCTCATGGCAGGATTGCACGATGCGTAAGAACATGGGCTTAAGCCCAGCAGGCCTAGATTTCAGACCCCGGCTCTGCACTCATCCGCTTTGTAACTGAGCGAGTGTCTGGCCTCTCTGGGTCTTGGTTCCCTCGTCAGTAAGATGGGAATGAGAATAGCGCCCACTCTCATAAGCTTGTGATGAGGACTAACTAACTGAGGGAAGACATGTGAGATGCTGAGAAGGGGGCCTGGAGCATAGTAAATGCTCAGCAAATATCAGATCCTGGGACTATTGTCATTTCTAACCCCGTGGCTGCGTCCAGCTTCCCGGCCCCACCTCACACCACACACCTTGTAGCTGGATCCTGACCTCGACCCTGAGGTTTAACTGGGTTTCCCAGACCTTCCTTGGGTTCATCCCTGACTGGGAAGATGTGCCTGGTCAGCTCCCATGTGACAGTCAGTGGGATTTCTGAGAAAGTCTTCCCTGGGAGAGGGGAGTCCAGGCACAGTGGCTCACACCTGTAATCCCAGCACTTTGGGAGGCTGAGGTAGGAGGATCACTTGAGACTAAGAGTTTGAGACAACATGGTGAGTTTGGGCAACAAAGTGAGACCTCATCTCTACAAAAAAATCTAAAAATTAGCCGGGCGTGATGGCACACGCCCATAGTCTCAGTTACTCAGGAGGCTGAGGTGGGAGGATCGCTTGAGCCCAGGAGGTCAAGGCTGCAGTGAGCCATGATCATGCCACTACACTCCAGCCTGGGTAACAGAGTGAGACCCCCAACTCCAAACAAAGTTTTTTTTTCTTTTAAAGTAGAGGGGAAAGGAGGAGGGAGACAACAGAGAAGTGGCTGTGATTTAGCCAGATGCTGGAAACTTGGCCCCGGGGGCCTTTCCAGCCTCTGTTGCCCACAGGCCTCCTCTTGTGTCTGAGCTGGGGTTCCTCCTATGTTGGTGTCATAGGACATGATGTGGCCCCGGGAGGGCTCATTAGTGCAGCTGCCCTAACATGGCCAGGATGGGTAAGGACCAAGTCACATCCACCCTTCTGGGAGTTGCCAAGACTCAGGACACAGCCTGGGGCTCATCCACTCCTTGGCCTCGGGGGTGACCCCCTGACATCCAGGTGTGGGTGCAGAGGTAGGGCCGGGTTCCCGTGGGCAGGGGCTCAGCTCTGGGTTGGGACTCACAGGAGACAGACACCTACCGGCGGGCCATGCAGAAGATGGCCGAGGACATCCTGTCACTGCGGGAGCAGGCCAGCATCCTGGAGAGGGAGAACCAGGTCCTGAGGAGCCACCTGGCCCAGCAGAAGACGGACGAGGAGCAGGACAGAGCCAGCGAGGCCCAGAACGCGGGTGAGGCCGGACAGACCGCCGAGACCTCAGGGCAGCCGCTGGGGCTGGGCTCCGGGCTGTGTGACAGTGGCGGGAGCTCCTCCAGATGTCCGTGTCCCTGGGCTTGGCCAGAGGAGCCCCCATGCCCACACTGTCCCTGCCCAGCCAGGTTCTCTCAGGGGTGGCAGACGGAGAATCCAGTCCCATCTCAACCCCCCCCCAGGGTGTGGGACATCTGCCCTGCCCCACCCAGTACAGATTTGGGCTGGGAGTGGCCTCCTCCCTGAGCCGGGCCCCCCACCCAACAGCATCCATGAAGCAGAAACTGCTGATGAGTGAGCTGGACACAAAGAGACTGAGGGACAAGGTGCAGCATTTGCAGAATGAGCTGATTAGAGTGAGTTGGGCCAGAGAGGGGTGTGGAGGGGAGGGAGCTGGGGGAGGGGTGTGTCGGGGAGGAATGTCCAGAGCAAAAGAGGGGGCCCTAACAGGAAAACAGAGGTACCAAGGGGGGAGAACCAGCCCAGGGTTGCGGGGGAGAGAGCCTCAGGCCAAGGAGGACTCCCAAGCTCCCATTCTCCCACTTGCCTCTCCCTCCCACAGAAGAATGATCGAGAAAAGGAGCTGCTCCTTCTATGTGAGGCCCAGCAGCCCCAGGCTGTGCAGCTCAAGCTCTACCAGGACAAGCTGCAGAAGACGAAGGCGCTGGAGGAGACCGTGCGGCACCAGGAGAAGGCAGGTGCCCGGGAGGGGCTGCCCCAGGCCCCCACCCCCGCCCCGCAATGGTGGGTGAGAAGCACCAGCCAGCCCCGCCTCTGCTCTGTCCGGCAGGTGATCGAGAAGATGGAGCAAGTGCTGGAGGACAGGCTGCGGGACAGGAAGGAGCCCCCGCCCCCAAACAGGCTGCAGGGAAAGCCCAATGTGGGTGGGTCCCTCCCTTCTGCCTGGGAGGCCCTGCCTTCCTGGAGCCTCCAGCTTCAAGAGCACCCACAGAGAAGCCCCAGTGCTTGGGAGACCCAGGACACGCCCCTCCCCTGCTCATTCAGGAGGAGGGGCTTTGGGAGGTCCCCTGAGCGCCCTCCTCCCCTGGAAGCCCCCCAGGACACAGTTGGGCATACTTTGGAGCCAGGCCAGAAAGAGGCTGGACCTCCAGGAGAGGCCCTGCAGATGGGAAGAGCAGAGAGGAGTTTCCCCAGAAGAAGGGCAGCCTGGAGCACGTTTCAACTTTTAACTACAGACCCCATCAAATTAGCCCCCACCTTGCTAAACCTTCAAAGAGCCTGTCTCTGCAGAGCACATAAACAGAAATACTTTGATGAAATCAATGGTTTGTTTTCCCTGTTGATGTTCACCAAAGCCACCTGGAGCTGCCTGTCGGAGGTGGCTCTGGTGAGCAGGAGAGAGCCAGGTGCCACCACGTCAGGCAGGCCCAGAGCCAGGGATTCCCCGATCCTGCCCTGAGCTTGCCTGGACAGCCTCACCAGACAACTGAGTGCCCAGCCCTGTGTTCCCTTCACTGCTGGGCATGAAGGGATGGGCAGTTCTAAAGGCCTTTAGAAAACCATAGAAGCTGACTGGGCTTTCAGGAGCACCGAGGTTCTCCGGGAGTCTGGTAAAAGACTGAGGTGGCAACCTGGGGGGAGGAGAACAGCCAGGGTCAAGGCCCGGGGACATGAGAAGACCCCTAGGAACACAGGAGGAAGAAGAGAGAGAGGAGGAAGGAAGAGAGAGAGGTGAAGGAAGAGAGAGAGGTGAAGGCACCAGCACACACCAAACACAAATGAGGAGCTAAGGAGAATGCTGGGGTCAGAGTCTAAAAAGCTTGGAAGGGCAGCCTGAGGTGTGCACCCTAGAGCCCACCGGCCGCAGGGCACCATGAAAGACTTGGGAGCAGAGAGGAGAGAGGGGCAGATTGAAACCAAATGCTGGGGCGCATCAGGGCAGGGACAAGGAGGCAGGAAAGCCCGTCTCACCAAGGTCTGTGGCCATGTCTGCAGCCTTCCCTGTGCTCTCAGCCTCTGGCCTCCCCCTCGGTTCTGCAGGAGAGAACCTGCCCACCGACATGTACTCGGTGCTGCTAGCAGAAAACGCAAGACTGCGGGCAGAGCTGGAGAAGAACCGCCACCAGTCAGCCCCCATCATTCTGCAGCAACAGGCCCTGCCGGTAAGAGCTGGCTCGGGTTGGCCTGGCCGGCCTGCACCGGCCACCAAGTGCCCGGCAGTCACTTGCAGCACAATCCAAGTTGAAGGTCAGGATCAGGAACTGGGCCTCCTGGGGCCTCCAATCTGCCTGGAGTCTCCTAAAATCTGAGCTCTCAGGCCTTGCTTTCTTTCTCCTGGGGAACGCATGCTTCTGGAAACTTCCCCTTGTACCCTCGAGCATCTTGGGAGAAAGCAGGCCCCTCACTGACCATGGATTTCTGAGCCCTGACCCCTTGGCCACCTGGCCAACCTCCATCTGGACCCCACACAGGCCTCTCAGAACTCCCTTCTGGAGCCTTTCCTGGAATGGGGGCAGCCTGGGAGAGCCCTTTTCCCCACCCCAGGTGAACCCCAGGGAGTTGGGAGCAGGAGGAGACTCGGCAGAGAGGCTGCGGGAGACAGATGCCCTGGGCCACTCCTGGTGTGCAGAGACCCTGCCCGCACAGGTGGGTGGCCCAGGCCGCTTCTGAGGCTGCTTCAGATGCCCCTCGCTGTAAAGTGACAGTTGGAATTACAGAAGAGTGGGCAGGGCAGAGGCACAGAGGTTTCTTCATCCCCGAAATCCTAGTCGTTGAGTTCAGTCTGAAAGCACATTTGGCCTTGGGCATCCAGGTCAAGTGGGAGGGACAGGGGACGCTCACACACGGATTCTTCACTTTGCAAAAAGACTCTCAGATGGGCCCTATGGCTCAGGCCTGTAATCCCAGCACTTTAGGAGGGTGAGGAGGGAGGGCTGCTTGAGCCCAGGAGTTTGAGATTATCCTGGGCAACACAGCGAGACCTTGTCACGACTAAAAATCAGAAAATTAACCAGGCGTGTTGGCACACACCTTAGTCCCAGTTACTCAGGAGGCTGAGGCAGGAGGATTACCTGCACCCAGGAGTCAAGGCTGTAGTGACCTGTGATCGTGCTACTGCACTCCAGCCTGCCTGACAGAGTGAGACTCTGATTCAAAAAAAAAAGAGAGAGATAATTGGTAATAGTGGGAAACTGCCAGGGGAAGGGGAGGGTGCACCTCATCCACAAGGGTACCTGCATAATTACATTTGTATACCTAATCCTGAATTATACCTTACATCTTTAAAATTAATTTAAAAAATTTTTAAGTTCATTAAAGGGAACTCCCCAATGCACTGTACATTAAAAAATTGATTTGTAAAAACTTCATATACCTAAACATCTATGAAGGAAACAGCTGTGAAAAACCCACATGCTGGGCCCTGTTCCAGATGAGGGTTCAGCCCAGGTCCAGGCTCTGTGTGGGGAGGGTCTGTGTGAATTTGGAGCTCCGAACTACCTGGTTTCTCCCCCAATGGCTGGGTTTCCCAAGCCCACACAGCCACAGCCCCTGGCTGAGCTTCTGCTTTACCCACAGGATTTCCTCTCCAGTAACTCAGACAAATTCAATCTCCTGGCCAAGCTGGAGCGAGCTCAGAGCCGGATCCTCTCCCTGGAAAACCAGGTGAGGTGCAAGAGTTGATCAGGCTGAGCCAGGCTCACCACATAGCCTTGTGACCAAGGCTATGACCAAGTGTGTGAGTAGGGTCAAGGCTCAGACTGTGACCAGTATCAGGGCTCAGTGTGTGACCAGGGTCAGGGCTTAGCATGTGACCAAGGTCAGAGCAAGTGAGTGACCAGGATCATGGTTCAATATACAACAAAGGTCAGGGCTCAATGTGTTTCCAGGGTCAGGGCTTAGTCTGTGACCAGGATCAGGACTCAGTATGTGACCAGGCTCAAGACTCAAAGTTTGACCAGGGTCATGGTTCAGTATAAAACAAAGAGCAGCTGGCCTCGGTGGCTCAGCCTGCAATCCCACACTTTGGGAGGCTGAGGTGAGTGGATTGCCTGAGCCTGTGGGTTCGAGACCTGCC